GCACGCCCGCGCCCGTCTGGCCGTCCTCAACATCTGACACTATCCGCGACGAAATGTTCGGTAATATTACTGTTACGCGCTCAAGTCGACGATACACTAGCGCCATCTAGTTTCAGGAACGAGAGCGAGGGGAGCATTGAGAAAATGACATCACAAATCACTCAACCGACAGCGCCACCCGAAGAACTAATTTTCTGGAAAATCTACACTCGAATACTCGTTGCCTAGCGCGCATTTACTTGAATGTTCGGGACGCTTCTTTGCTAATTATATAAATAGGCGCTGCAAGATGCGATCGGGGCAGAGTTGAACTCGGCGACACAAGCGAAGCTTCGGAGCGGAATTAAGTGAATTAGTGTGTTTAATTATTAGTGTTTTTAGTTTTAATTTGTGTAAAGTAAATTAAAGTGTTAATTTAGGTAATTTTATCGGCAATTTTTATTGTCACGAACCTCAAGCTCGTAACAATTGGTGTCAGAAGTGGGATAAAATCATGCCGATTTTACCTAAGGAGGAAACGGAGGGTGTTCGTACCCGCAGTCAACGCCAGCATGAGACGGACCAGAGAAGATTTGGTGGCGCAATGCCGCAGACGTCGGAACGCCAGCCGCCGGCAACGGAGGCCGGTTCATCAGTAGCTCCTGCATCTGCAGCACCTGATTTAGGCGCCCTGATGGTGATGCTGCAGGAACAGGTCCGTCGCTTGGAAGAGCAGCTGCGGGGCGGACAGGCAGAACAGGCCCGCCGACAGGAGGAACAGATGCTTCTCATGAAGGACCTTCACGCTACCTTTGGGAAAGAGATAAGAGAGGTGAAGGATAAGGTTGCTCAACATGAAAACCGCCTGTCGGAAGCTGAAACCCGAATTGACCAAGTGAACAATCGGGTTGACAACGTAATGGCTGACATGAGGAAATCACTTGACAAACTCAAACTTGGGGAGGGAACTACAGCTCCCGTAGTAGCTACTACACCTTCGCTACGTGGATTCAAGGTGCCACCATTCGACGGGACTTCTTCCTGGTCAGCCTACAAAATCCAGTTCGAGGCTGTTATGAAGGCGAACGGCTGGAATAAAAGTCAGGCCATGACTGCTCTCACACTAGGCTTGCGCGACCAGGCCTTAACAGTTCTGGAAGCTCTCGGTGAGGAAGTGACTTATGAGCAACTCCTTGAGGCATTGGAGGCGAGATATGGCGACGCTCACCTGGAACACGTCTTTCGTGCGCAGCTTAAAGATCGTGTGCAGCGCATCAACGAAAACCTGCAGCAGTGGGCTCTAGAGGTGGAGAAGCTGGTGCGAAAAGCATACCGGTCTGTACCTGCGCTCATTGAAGGGAACCTGGTGCAGACATTCATTGACGGCATCCGCGACCTGGAAGTCAGAGCTGCTGTGAGGCTCGGGCACCACGAGACGCTTAAGGACGCCTTGGCCCATGCACTGGAAGTGGAAGCCGTGCGGCAGGATCATCGTTTCCATCGCGTCAGGGAGGTTGCAGCCGCTACAGTCCGTGACCGCAGCAAAGGATACAGCCCTAGGTGCTATGGCTGTGGGGAAAAGGGCCATCTTCGATCCAGCTGCCCTAAACGAACAGTGGAAAGGAGAGTTGATCGATCTCGAGAGGGTAGTGCAGCTAACGGCACTGCCTGGCGGCGTCAGGATCATCGTTCACCTCACTCTAGGGAGGTTACAGCAGTTACGGTTCGCGACCACAATAAAAGATACAGCCCTAGGTGCTATGGCTGTGGGGAAAGGGGCCATCTTCGTTCCAGCTGCCCTAAGCACACCTTAGGAAGGGAAGGTGAACGGTCTCAGAAAGGAAGTGCGGCTAACAGCACCGCCCAGCAGCAGCAGGAATACGACTTTACTATCAGACACTGCAGCGGGAAATCTCACGGCAACGCAGATGCATTGACAAGAAGACCTTGTCCTGAAGATTGCAACCATTGTAGTAGGCAAGAGAGTAAGGAAGTGGTATCCGTGAGGATGCTCAGGACAGACCACCTCAGCAACGGGTGGAAGGACAGCCTATGACATGCACAGCAGGAAGATCCGGACATCAAGCCGATTCTGGGATGGATGAAGGCCCGTGCTACCAAGCCTAAGTGGAGGGACGTCTCAGCGATGAGTTCAACCACGAAAAGCTATTGGGCCCAATGGGATAGCTTGCTGATTCAGGATGGAGTCCTGTGCCGTAAATGGGACAATGGTCGAAGAGACAGCTGTCGTTTGCAAATGGTTGTCCCTAAAGCTAAAGTGCCGAATGTTCTACAGCTGTGCCATAATGGTCGTTCAAGAGTCCATCTGGGAGTTAAACGAACTCTACTGAAGGTCCGAGAACAGTTTTACTGGGTCCATTATCGTGACGATGTCGAGGATTGGTGTCGTACATGTACAAGTTGTGCGGCCGTGCGGGGACCTCAGACACGTAGTAGAGGAGCACCGAAATTGTACAATGTTGGTGCACCACGGGATAGGACAGCCCTTGACATTGCGGAGCCGTTACAGAAAGGCGCAAGAGGGACTCCTAAGATCGTCCATGTGGATCGCTTGGCGCGTTATTATGGGGCCGATAATGCTCGGGACGAGCATGTCTTAGGAGGGGGCAGTGTTACGCGCTCAAGTCGACGATACACTAGCGCCATCTAGTGTCAGGAACGAGAGCGAGGGGAGCATTGAGAAAATGACATCACAAATCACTCAACCGACAGCGCCACCCGAAGAACTAAGTTTCTGGAAAATCTACACTCGAATACTCGTTGCCTGGCGCGCATTTACTTGAATGTTCGGGACGCTTCTTTGCTAATTATATAAATAGGCGCTGCAAGATGCGATCGGGGCAGAGTTGAACTCGGCGACACAAGCGAAGCTTCGGAGCGGAATTAAGTGAATTAGTGTGTTTAATTATTAGTGTTTTTAGTTTTAATTTGTGTAAAGTAAATTAAAGTGTTAATTTAGGTAATTTTATCGGCAATTTTTATTGTCACGAACCTCAAGCTCGTAACATTACTTATAAAATGCTCTTGAAATATATATAAGTTTGCTATCTCTCCTGGCTCATTCCCCCCTCAATACTCACCGGGATACTCGGCTTAGAATTCACCTTTTTTTGTTTGTTTCCAAAAATTTTTAAAGTCTTTGTTTTTATTCCTTTACCAATTAACTTGTCCATTTTAATTTGATATTCATTATTTTGACAAAATTTAAATTTCTGTTTAAATAACTTTTTTGATTCATACATTTCTTTATACAATTTACCACCAATAGGTTTGCCATGCCACACCCAATTTATAAATTTTTGCCTAGCATCCCGGTGAGCATCCCTAGCATGTTTATTCCAGCCAACAATACGAACGCCCTTCCGACACTTTCCCTTATTATAACTAAATATAGCGGCCTCTGACAATGTTGCAACAATTTTATTATACATTACATCTATAGATTTTTTATGATCAAGGTTATAACACATTCTATTACAGCAAGGAATAGGAGTACATTCATTTAAAGTATTAATATCTCTCAAATTTTTTAAACAAAGATCATGGTATGTTGCAATTTGACCTTCATCTCTATGTCCACAAACTACCTTGTTTATGCTTACCCTACTTTGCGATTCAAATTTGGGGCTGACCATCGACAGGTCACACTGTATCTCCAGTGGGAAGTGATCCGACCAATAAATGTCGTAGTGTATATCCACACCGACCCCCACCCTCCAGGCGGCGTTGGTGACGACACAATGATCTAGCCAACGCCTGCTACCGTGCGCCTCACTTATAAAAGTATAGGTATCTGAGTTTTCACCTAATTTCGACATATCAGCACACAACCAATTTTGATTAAAACAAAAGCTAATTAATTCCTTACCGAAACGTTCTCCAGGATGTGCGTTAAAGCCCCCTAAGACAAAAACAGATTCTACATTTTGATTTTCAACAATCGCCGCAATTTCACTCAAACAGTCACTAAATTCTAACAAATTTTCAGAACAATCCGTTGGCATATAAACACTAAATATAAGCAAAGAGCCGTTTCCTATATTCACTTTAATTGCTACGATACGTTCACTTTTGCACAAAATAACGGAGACCGATCTAAAGACACTCTTTTGCCATAAAAGAGCAACTCCACCGTACGGTCGACCGTATAGGATTCCTGCCGATGTATCTATCGCCGACTTACCGAAGAAACCAAAATCCTGATTTATATTGCCGAGTCTCGGTATTTCGTGAGGGAGTAGCCAGGTCTCCTGTAATGCTATAATATCGGCCGTTTTACATAATGACTTAACACATTCAATAGATCTTTTCAACGACTTACAGTTAAAGCTCAAAAACTTGGCAGGCACTCCATTCAACCGGCTGCCCATTTCTTTTTTTTCTCTAACTATTTTTCTTTTCTTTTTTATATATTATTCCTTTTTTTACCTTTTCCTTTCTTTTTTATTTATATTTTATTTACTCGCTTTTTATTTGTCGCTCTCACGCCTTGGAGCGTTATCATTTCTTTTGTAGAAAGTTACAAATCTTCGAAACGACACACCTTGAGGCCATATATTTTCGTCCATAAAAACGGACAACTTATGTTTCGGAATAAGGAACTTATAGGCTTCGTATTCCTTTTTCTGCCTCATGTTCACTCTCTCCAAAGCAACTTCCACGCTTGTTTTGCTCATAATATATTTACTTATGTCTTCGACAGAAGCATTTTTGTCAACATTATAAATGTAAAACGGAATTTTAACATCCGCCGCCTTGAAACCGCAATCCAACTCTAGATCTGCTTTTCCCTTTTTTCGCCATAAAACGATTTCGCAGCCGTCTTCTTTGCAAAAGAATCCATTCATCCTTTGGTGCTACTGGTTTCCATTGACCACCCTCGCGCACCACATCGGAAAACTCATTGTTGTTTCATGTTTTTTATACGCACTGTTTTCGTTAATCGGCGTAGGCTCGGAGTGCATAGGCGCAGGCGCAGCGCTGTTAGCACAATTGGCTACATTCGTCGAAACCACGGTGAGGGCCTCCACTTGCGACCCGCTGTTCACTGGAGAACTTGCCTCGCAGCGATGTACAGTTAGTGGTGCGACCGAGACAGGAATATCGCGTGAGAATGGGACAGGTACGTCCTTATCAGCGCGAGCCAGTTCATTGACCTCGCTTACAGCGGTTGTTGACCCGCTGTGTATATGCGTTAAACCAATTGGGCCGCTATCTACATTCAAACTGTTGTTTAGTAAATACCCGCGTCTTCTATTGTTTATATTTTCATTTATTTCTAAAAACGGAACTCTTTCTTCCAACATTTCTAAAGTAACGTACTTCTCTTTTATAATTTTCATGTCATTTTTCAAAGTAATGATATCCTTTAGCAGCCTTGTCACTTCTACGTGGTCAAAAGTAACCGGCGGTACTTTTTGTAGGTCGTTTGCAACGAATATGGGCATTTTTTCTGGGTCTGTCCTTTTAATTATACTAATAATATCTTCGATATCACGCTGCATCTTTCCTTCTTTCTTGCGCGTAATCTTTCGGCTCGTGGTGGTAATAGATTCGAAAAGTAAATTTTTCGCTTGTACCACTTCCTCACTCGAAAACGAAGTAGCACACAGACGTATAATGCTTTCTTCATCCATAACATCAGCCTTGTTTTGAATGAAGGCCAATAACTCAGAAATCACAATATTGCAATTATTACATTTTACTGTCTTAGAGGCCATTGCCCCGCCCTCGATTATTAGCGATCGCTTTGTTCTACGTCCGAACACACACGCGCGCTGAAGCAGACTGAACTGACTTTAAACGTTTTAAAAAGTCTTTTTGGCCTTTAAAATAGAGTTTAGCGTCGTTTAATTAAAAAAAAATTTTTGGAAACGATCGTTGCCAAGAGCAAGTTCGAGTTTTCGTATTAACAATTATCATTGCCAGAAGCATCGATATACAGGGTCATTTTTAATTTACTAAAGACCGTTTGGGAATATACTGGTTGCTAAAATCTACCAAATACTGATAAGTTGTGTCCTGTAAATGCATAAGCAAGTAAGGAAAAATGCGATTACTTAAAGTTATCTAAATTTATTTAAGTAATAAATATTAAGTGTAATATTTGTAGTAATCAACTGCAAGCAATTTAAGCTTACCACGAGTGGTTAAGGGGAATATTAGTAATGTTTATAGCATTGTTAATATTCTTTAAAAAAAACTAAATGGGATAATTCCACTACGGCTTGGTCATCATCACCTACAGATGCCGATGATAAGGCTACACCTGCTTCAAATATTTTTTCACAGTTTTAGAAATTTGTCTAGGACATTTTCATGTATGTCTTTATGTGTGGCAGCTTTGCTTAAGAATGTTTTTATTGATGATGTGTCATTATATTTGAGTTCACTGTTTCAGCTGACAACCGCTTACATAGCTTACTTTTAACAATGCTCATAACACCGAAAATCCGCTATACTTCGGCGAATGTTGAAGCGACAGCATGCTGATATCTAATTGCACTAATTCCCGAAAGGCACTCATCCTAGCCGCATTTTTGTATCTGGAGACTTGAGCCCGAAATTTCACTGTATCATCACCATCACCTTCTTATTTGAGCGATTGAATTCCATGTCATTTGATCTCACTCAGATCTATATTTCTGACTATAAGCCTTCTTCCTCGGTGGTTAAATACCATTTAAAATTTTCACGAAATAAACAAAACTGAGCTAAAAGACTAATGTATATATATATGTATATATATATATATATATATATATATATATATATATATATATATATATTAGAGATGGGCCGAAATTCGGTACAAGAAAAATAATACCTACTTGCACTTACATTTTTAACTGAAATGTTAGGTGCTTCTAAATTACAATATGCCATGGCTGCAACTGGTGGTTCTACTCATGATACTGAACCACTTTCCCCAAGGAACCCATAGTCAATTCTCAAAAAAATTGCACTTTGTATGGAAATCGGTCAGCTGATTGGCCAAGTCTCCATACAAACAACCGTGGCATATATTTTAGAAGCACCTTATATAACAACATTAGATACTGTAAAATAAAAGATATTATTTTTACTCACTCATGGTCAATTATTTATTTATTTATTTAATAGGAACATTGTAAATGTAAAACTTATATTAAATCAGTTCTTATCTTATTATTAATCTTAATCTTAGTTCTTAACCTTAATCTTAGTTAACTAGTTATTAATCTTAGAAATCCCTGCCTAATAATTAGACATACTATTACAAAAAATGAAATAAACTTTGAATTCTTCTAGTAAACATCTGGATAAGAGTCCGTAAATTAAATAAAAAAATAACGTTTTTGATTCAACATTCATTAACCTCAAGTATTTTTTATTACAATTAAAGGGTATTTTTTCAACAATCATATTAAACCAACTTTTCTTATCTATGACTATCTATTCATATTGTTACGCGCTCAAGTCGACGGCACTAGCGCCATCTAGTCTCGAACCGAAGAACTAAACTTCTTGAAGTTGAAACACGAACTCTCGGTACCTTGCGCGTGTTTACTTGAATATTCTGGACATTTCGCTGCTAATTTATATAAATAGGCGCTGCAAGATGCGATCGGGAAATATTGAAGTTGGCGAGGCAAGCGAAGCTTCGGAGCGGAATAAAGTGAATCAGTGTGATTAATTATTAGTGTTTTTAACTTCAATTAGTGTAAAGTGAATTAAAGTGTTAATTTAGGTAATTCTATCGGCAATTTTTATTGTCACGAACCTCAAGCTCGTAACAATATTTAAAATTTACTAGAGGCAGGTTATGGTGCAAAAACACCAAAGATTCTGCCTTATCTGGCAGAAGTTTGTTATGTTTTTTTTTCGTATGTTTCCTGCCTCCGAAAAAAGTCGCTCAGAATATACAGAGCTTCCGGGACACGATAAGTATATTCGAGCCAAACAATTCATATTAGGGGAACTTGTCTTTATTCTTAGCCCATCAGCCATATGGTCATAGGTCTTTGAGTAGCAGAACTTCACTGAGATATCTGTCTAGCTCTGACGCAATCGGACTTTTGGTTTCTTCTACATCTATCGGTAACTTTACTGCTGCTAGTTCCTCGTAGCAGCACCAGAACGTTCTGTGTGTGTTTTCACAATTGGATGATGACGTGGATCTCTGTGCTACCTGAACAACTTCTTCATCACTGCTTGACCCAATATGCTTGGTCCTACTTACAAATTCCGCCAGGAAAGTTCGTCTGATCATTGGTACATTATCTGGTGTAAAAAAATTCATTTTGTAGCGTGGGTCTAGCAGTGTTGCTAGACTATAGCACTTGTCATCTTCAATCCCCTGACAACGTCTATCCAGTCCTTCTTTTAGTGACGAACGCATTGTGTTTATATTAGAACAAGCCACTTTAACTTCTTCTTTGATCAAATACTTCGAAAGAATCGTCAAGTTAGGAATGACCTCTGATATACAAGAGTAGGATGAGCTAATTTTTTTTGTGATTTCTTCGAAAGTAAAGCAAGACATTCTTTCAGAAGATCCCATTGTCTCTCTGTCAAATTTTGAAAAATTATTGTGTTACTGTTGTCAGATATGTACAACGAAATCGTTCTCTTTTGCTCCAGTAACCTTTCAACCATATAAAAAGTGCTATTCCAGCGGGTGCTGACGTCTTGAATAAGTTTGTGCTTGGGTACATTTAGCTCAGTCTGTATCAGCTGCAATTTTTCTTGAGCCGGTTGTGAGTGCTTGAAATGAGTCACTATACGACACCCTGCCGCTATTGCTTCATTATCACTTTCCTGCGCGTCTAAAGCACCGTGAATTGCGCGTTGCAAAGTATGAATGAAGCACGCTTTCACAATGTTGCGACCGTTATCAGTGACGATCACATGTATAAATTTTGTCTGAGATGTTCCATGACTCGGCTATTTCTTCTAGAGCACACTGGATATTATGCGCTGTATGCTGCTCTGAAAACGATTTCATTTTCAGCATCCCATGTTGCATTACAAAATTGTTGTCAAGCCTGTGAACAGTAAAACTTAAAAAAACACAGCATATTATTGATGCACGTCCACATGTCGCTTGTAACTGAAATCGTTTTAGCTTCGGATAGTTGGTTGAAAATCTTCTTTTTTAATTGTTCATACATTTCAACTATTCCTGTTTCAGTAATGTATTTTCAACTGGCCATCTGGTATTTTGGTTTTAATATGGCTAGCAACCGATTAAATCCGACATCTTCTACAATACATGTAGGTTGATTATCCACACATATCATTTCTGCTATGGCTTTGTGAATTTGTTTAGCCCTTGTGTCATCTATTTTCCACGTACTTTCAAATGTGCCCTCAATGGTCGCTTGACGTAATGATGACTCCGCTGCGGGCAACTCTTCAGTAGTATTCGACGATGAAGGTCTTACTAAAGGAAGGATTGGATTTGGCGAATGAATGGGATGTTGTAATTGTGTGTATTCTCGATCATGCTTCACACGAAGGTGGTTGGTCAGTGCAAAAGTAGACGCTGAACGTCCACTACCACGATGAGATATCAGCTAATCACATAGGATAGAACATTTCACTTCATTTGGTTGATCAGTTTCTGTATAAAATGTCCAAACACTTGATTTTTATTTGCACTCATTTTCTTTCACTTCCTCGTCAATCCACTTAAAACAATTATTTTTGTTAATTACAATCGTACGCGACACGCGCCGATGTCGTGACGTATTTGATAATGACCGGCCGGCTCGGGTACGCGGAGGGAGTGCGCTGTGCGGGCGGGGTATTTGAAGTAAATGCGTAAACAAGTTACGACGCGTCGACGCGAAAGCGCGCGAAAATGAACCGAACTTCGGCCGAACATTTCATTTGAACCGTATGTGCGGCCGAAGTTCGAATTCGGTTCAAATGACATTCGGCCCATCTCTAATATATATATATATATATATATATTTTTTTTTTTATATATATACTTATATTATAACACGAAACTCTAAAGTGGGAAAAACCAGTTCGTATCAGGTATTAAAGCTCAGATGATTAATATAATTAAAAGCAAAACAGCTACATAATACCATAATGAAAAAGGGAGATAAAACAATTAACGCTTCAGTAACATTTTGGTCGGAGAATACCCGAACAATCATATGATATTCTAAAAATGCAGTTACTTTGTCTGATGGTAAAATTGTGAAAGTATCGTTTACGTACCGCATGTAGATCTTTGGTGTAACAGGTGCAGTAAGGAGGGCTTTCTCCTCAAAGTCTTCCATGAATATATCGGCGACAATGGGAGATACAGGTGAGCCCATCGCAACACCATCTACTTGCTTGTAAAACTCTTCCTTCCACACAAAAACTCTTACTTTCACAATTTTACCATCTGACAAAGTAACTTCATTTTTTGTTTATGGAACATCTTAATTCCATAAACTCTAAAATTCAGTTTACTATGGAGTTAGAGGCAAATAATTACTTACCTTTCCTAGATGTGTTAGTCATCCGAAATCCTAACAACACCATAGGTCACACTGTGTATAGAAAAAAGACCCAGACTTCAGCACGTCAAGCAAGTTCTGCGCGACAACAAGCTTCGGGTCCCGCGCCTACGTCACAGTGACCGAGTGAAGCCGGCCACAGTCGAGCTTGTGCCTGCTGTACTACCATATGTCAGAGGTGTCATAGACAAGATTGGCTACATCTTTAAGCGAGCTTCTATTAGAACATTTTACAAGCCGCCGAAGAAGGTTAGTCGGTTCCTACCATTCGTCATGTGTCAAATTCCTCTACAAAATGCAGGAGTGTACAAGCTTGATTGTGAATGTGGTCTCTCTTATATAGAACAAACAAAAAAGATCAATTAGAACCCGCCTAAAAGAACATACAGCTGATGTAAAGCATCAACGTTCCGGGAAGTCTACAGTTTGTGATCATATCCTAGACGGCCCCAACCATTACATCAGATTTGATAGACCACAAATCCGCGCGAAAGAACACCGATTCTTACCAAGGATGATGATGATACGTGAGGCTATTGGAATTAAAAAACACCCTAATTTCAATAGAGAAGGAGGCTGGGTACTACCACCTGCTTGGGACCTTGGACCAACAACCTTCGGAAACTTCAAGCTTCATCGTCGTCATAAAATACCCCACCCATTCGCTCCCGAGCAGATATCGTCTACAGTCTTCATATCCTGCAAGCCACTTCTAACTTCACAAGGTTCATCGCAGCACTGGAATAATAATGCTTCCTGTTCCTTCAAGCTACTCTCTGCGCAACATGTGTTCGGCACGGCTCTGAGCCTTACTGCTCGCCTCTGTTTCACGGCTCTCTCGCAGATTACTTGCGTTCTTCTCGACTCACCGCAAACTACAAGGTAATCTCCTGGCACTTGCACATTCGTCGGCAACGAGGCTGCACTATCGACCTCCGATCTTAGCAGGGGGGTGATGTGGCGGCGCTGTCGTCGCGCCGCAAGCGAAACACACCGAAGCCTAAATCACGCTATCAACATTCCGAATCATAAATAGTATATATAGAACATCTCCGGACTATCACACGGAGAGTTGGCTGCTCCCCGGGCAGAACACCTTGCCCGGCGAGAGATCTCCCCTTTTCCTTCCACGGCCACAACCCTATAATCAATAAAATTAAAACTAAACCCAAGCATACCACTGCAAGACTTCAAGACATAGTTCATTTTGCATAGATCGGACCATAAACAATAATTAAAAAAGCTGAAGGAACTTCGGGTTTAATAATGACATCGGGACGTCAGTCATCTCAGTCCCCGTAACCATGGGTGCTGGAAAGCACCCGAAACGTCCGGAATTAAAAATAAACAGGAGCAGACCACGACGGGATCATGAGCGCGCCATCGACATATTCCAGCGCACCGTCAAGAAGGTAGACGAGCACTACCAAGTTGGATTGCCATGGAGGGATGACGACGTCAAGCTGCCACCGAGTTATGATACGGCAGCGCGAAGACTCCGAGCCATCGAGAGGAAGATGGATCAGTCGCCGGAGTTTAACGAATCGTACACGAAACAAGTGAACGACCTCCTAGAGAATGGCTATGCTAAAGAAGCTGACGGATCAGAACGAGAGGATCCGAAGAGCTGGTACCTGCCACACTTCACTGTACCGAATCCGAACATGCCAGGCAAGTTGAGGCTAGTGTTCGATGCAGCAGCTCGCGCATCAGGCAAGTGCCTGAACGATTATTTGTTAGACGCGACCAACCCGCGCAATTATTTTTATGGCGAGGTAACGATCGTATTAGTTCCCCGAATGAGTACGTAATGACTTCTATGATATTCGGAGCGAGTGTTTCACCTTTTCTGGCGCATAGTGTTAGGGACCACAACGCGCGCGTTTACGCCGAAACACATCCGCGTGCCCTCAACGCTATCATCAACAGTCATTACATGGACGACTACTTAAACAGCTACGCGACGTTACACGAGGCAATCGAGACGGCTAGGCAGGTCACCGAAGTACACAGCAAGGCAGGTTTTACGTTAGCAGGCTGGAATTCAAATCACGTAGCTTTGTTGAACGATAAACCGCAAGAGCTATTAGCACGTAAGCCCGACACAGGATGGTCCCGGTAGGATATTAGGTTTATTTTGGATAGCTGAAAAAGACGTTTTAACTTTTAACACATCTATGAATAGGGTGCTGCACGACGTTAAAGTACTACACCGCCCGCCGACTAAGAAGGAGGCGCTGACCGCAGTTATGTCCGTTTTCGATCCACTTGGGATGCTCAGATTACCAACCGCAAAGATCCTGCTACAAGACCTGTAGCGGATGAAGAAAGTCGTTTGGGATGATGAGATTCCCGAGGAGGCTGCGGATGAATTTGCGAAATGGTTACGAGCCATCAAGGATGTATCACGGTTGTATCTCCCGCGGTGTTATGCTCCTACTGGGGGAGTAGTAGATCGTCAATTACATATTTTTAGTGACGCGAGTGAAAGTGCATACGCATCCGCAGCTTATTGGCGTATCCGTTATCGCGACGCTACGATACGAGTCACGTTAGTAGCGGCCAAAGCGAAAGTCGCTCCGATTAAAAGACTAACCATACCGCGACTCGAATTACAGGCAAACTTAATAGGTGTACGACTTGCCGAATTCGTACAAAGCGAGCGTAGGATGAGAGCGGATAGGGTAGTGTTCTGGACAGACTCTACGACGGCGCTCCATTGGATTAGGAATGACACGGCGCGTTACGCTCCATACGTCGCACATGGAATGGAAAATGGGTACCAACGGCTCACAACGTAGCAGATGAAGCGACGCGAGCGAATTATGTAACAAAGAGCGCAAACGATAAGTGGTTCACCGGACCGCACTTCTTGTATAAGGAAGGGGAATGGCCACAGCAACCGAAAGAAATGGCAGGCGAGGAATATGAGGAAATCGTGGCGCACCGGCGAGAAATAAAGGGAGCACCACACCTGCCGGACATAACGAGATTCTCTTCGTACGAGAGACTAATCAGAGCTACGGCACGAGCCATACAG